CACCTATTATTTCTCATTTTGGCCCAAACCAATTTTTGACAACTAAACAGCGAGTTGTTTTTGGTAAAGTTTTTTTTTTTGAGGTAATATTTTTTTATCATACTAATAATCTAATATATATTTATCAGAGTGCACAGCGGATAGTTGCACATATAACAAATTTCGAGAACAAAATTTTAAAAGGAGGAAAGATTGTAACAATCTAGATTTTTAATTATTCTGTAGAATTTATATTAATATTATTTAATCACAGTTAAGAAAAATATATCACCTTTTATATATTATTATGGGTAATTTTGTAAAATAATATAATTATTAAAAATTTAAGAGTTAAAATATAAATAAATAATTAAGTTTAGATAAACTTGAATTAATTTAGATAAATTTAAATTAATGGAAGAATGATTGGAGCATGGCACGTGGCAGTCCGTGGCTTGGTGCCCACGGCTGCCTTTTCTATATAATAGGGAGGATGTGCTCACAAGGTAACAAAGAGAAAGGAAAAGTAAAGAGAAAGAAAGGAAAAGGAGAGAAATGAGAGAGAAAAAAAAATAATGGACGGTGAAAGGGTTTTTGGTGTTGGAAAGAAAGAGTGAGGTATTAAAATTAAGGTGAGTTATATTATACCTTAAGTTACTAAAATGTATTTTACATATGTTTTAACTTATCAAAATTTGTTTTATACAAGTTATGTTTTTAATAAAAGTTATGTTTTATAAAGGTTTCAGTTACGTGGTTTATCTTCTGAATCCTATTTGCTTAAAAGAAAATCCATGGATATGTTTGTTTATATTTTAAAGAATATTTGGCTATGACCTTATATGAAAATATGTTTTGTAAGTAAGACCACGGGAGTCTCATGTCTTGAGGGACTTAAATAACCATTGACTTAGTGAGTCTCATGCCTTGGGGGACTTAAATAACCATTGGCTTAGTGATTGACCACTTTGTGGTCCAGTTTTTGTCGTGGATCCACTGACCAGTATAGTGCTTGGCACTTAGTGATGTACCGTGATTATGGTTGTATAGTGATTTTCATATTATATGTTAAATGATCTGAAGTATATATCAAATGATTTTCGTATTATATGTATCAAGCTCTTAGCTGAAAGTGATTCGCTCCATGACCAAGTCCATGATATTGGTAAAGTCTGAAATCCGTTCCACTTAATAATTTTTATAAATCGTTATACGCAGTTTTTAGCTAACCGTTCTGAATGTTGCACAGGCCATGCAGAAAAACCAAGTGGCTCACAAACGTATCCTTGAGCTACGAAAAATGACCAAGGTCGCCATTACGGAAATGAGCTCTAAAGAGGCCGAGCTAAAGGTCCTGAAGACAACTTTGGCTGAGCTAACTGCCGAAAACGAAAGGCTGACCGAGTTAGTCAACGTGGTCGAAGCAAACAAACAAAAAGCCCTGGCCGAGAAAAAAGACCACTACATGCGCGAACTCACAAAGATATAAAAGAAAAAGAACGTCGAGATCCAAGAGCTGAAGAAAAAAATGGAGGACACGGACGACCAAGGTTTATAAAATTACCCGGAGCAATATATCCAGTTGTTCCTCTAATTCTACTTGAAGCACTGTTGTGTCTATGAGTGGATGCACCTGTCTTGGTTAGACAAATTCTTGCCAAACCAAAATCACTTACACTGGTGGAGAGATCATCATCAAGAACATTGCTCGGCTTCAAGACGCAATGAAGATAGGTGTTTCACAATGGTTGTGAAGATAATCCAATGCCTTGAACAAGGTTCAAGTTCGTGGAGTCCTCCTGGTTCTGTGAACTCGAATGTAACCAGCTCTCAGAGACTCCCATTGGATATGAATTGAAAGACCAAAGCCTTGAACTCATTGCCTTTGAAGTCTATGCTTGAGCAAGCAGTATTATCTTAACTGGATCTGAGGTCGGATGTTCCTCAATGCTTCACATGCTGCCAAGAAACTCTTGCTGGCTCCCCTTACTTGAAGATTGAATACCTTGACAGCAATTGCTCTTATAGTTTCACAATTGAGAATCCCTTTGTACACAGAACCATAGCTTCCCTCGCCGATCAAATTTCTTGAGGAGAATCTTTGTTAGTCAAAATACCTAATATAACTCATTTTTTTCAACTCCAATGCACTAGGCATATGATTAGGCATTTTAGCTCAACTCACATTCACTAGCTACATGTAGCTAGCCTTCAAGGCTAGGCAAAATGTATTTAATCATTGTGATCATTTCTCACCATCTTTGTTGCCGATGTGGCATTTTATAAAATTAATAATATTTAGATGAATAGCTAAAATAAAGAGCATGGTTGGAGTAAAAATATGAAATAGTTGATAGGCAAAATAAAATATATACTTTATAGTAATGTTTAGATATGTAAAATGCCTATTACCATCGGAGATGCTGCAGACACTCGTAAACTAAGGTAGGAGATAAATATTGACTCACTTGGCCCCTAGACCCATGACTAGATAGTTCTGTAACTTCTCATTCACCAAAATTGATAAAAGAAGGGAGCTTTAGAGATAAAACAACAAACCTGGGCCGACTAAAATATGCGGTTTAACTGTCAACTAAACTCTTCAAATATTCATATTTAAATTCCAAATGGGGTCTCTTGTTTTTTCATAACCCCTGTTATTAGAAGTTAGAAGTTAGTCCTCTTGAAAGCATATTTGAATAAAAAATAGAGAGAGAGGAAGGATAAGGAGTGAGGAGTGGACCCATTCCACATCATTAGGGGTGAATTAGAGGTGCTCAATTAGAGTTCCCAAACATTTTCATACAATAAGTGTGATGCAATTATCTTTATTGTTAATAATTTAATTTTATGCATGATAATCATCACGGTTTAAAAAATAATCACATGCCCTCATGAAATCTGAGATCAAATTTTTAATCAAGATGCACACACAAAAAGGAAGGTGAATAAATAATATACAGTGATTTTTATATATCACATTTGTTTTTTCACCGTTATGAATAACTGAATTACGTGACAATATTTTATTAGTTGTCATTAATTGTGTAATAATTATTTGTAATCAAATGGATCAATTATGAGTTCATATAAGAGGTGGTACACAACAATGACAAAAAATTTGTGGCATATAACATTCCTTTAATATAAAATTTATAAGAATTTTTTTAGTATAATTAAACATTTAAAGTAACAAATTAAACAATTTTTCTGGAAAAAAAAAAGTAGAGAAAATAGTGATATAAGATTTTCAAAAAAATACTTGAAAGGATTGAATTGAAATATATTTTTTGTTAGAGACAAAAGTATAATTTTGGAAAAGTTGAGTGGGGGCCACGTGACCCCCCCTGCCTCACTTGCCTCCACCCCTGGTAATACCGACGACCTGTGGATTTTATTTTATTTTTAATTTTTTAGATTGGTTTTGAATTTTCATATTTAAAAAAAAAAAATTATGAATTTTCTTACATTTTGATACTCAAGTGAGATGGGCTTGATCTATGAGCCAATGTAGAAAGTGAGATTTCATACTCAGTTTAGACTTTGATTCCCTTCTCTCAGTTAAAGCATCACCTGAGAATGAAGGATTACAGATGTATACATAATGAATGTAAGCTTGAATTTTAAAAATTAATTCAAATGGCTTATGAATGACCCAATAAATGTAAGGCCATCAATACTAAATAACCAGAATAGAGACCCTCTACAAAAGGGTAGATGAGAGGCATAAGATAAGCAACATACAAAAACTCTAAAACTCACCTTTCATTCCCTCTCAATTCATGCTACTAACTTAGGCATCAGAGAGTTTTTGACTAGCATCACATTGGGGCCTACTCAAGACTCATATCTTCTCTTGTAGGTTTGTCGGACCAAGTCAGGATCATATAAATCTGATCATCATCAACTCTTGAAGGTATGGGGCTTTTCCCAAAAGGATGCATATTTAGAATGGGTTATGATAAAGCTTTCCTTGTAAGAACCAAAATGAGCCCCAATTAATGAATTTTAATTTAAATATGGCCCTCATTTCAACCCCGCCCCCTCAATTTAACTAGATAAATCTTAATACCTATCACTTGGGGTCAGTTATATGAATCTGTTATCTCTAAGAGCATCTCCAACCCACTAGGTATATAATTTTTGTTAGTCAAAATGCCTAGTATAACTCATTTTTTTCAACTCCAATGCACTAGGCATATGATTAGGCATTTTAGCTCAACTCACATTCACTAGCTACATGTAGCTAGCCTTCAAGGCTAGGCAAAATGTATTTAATCATTGTGATCATTTCTCACCATCTTTGTTGCCGATGTGGCATTTTATAAAATTAATAATATTTAGATGAATAGCTAAAATAAAGAGCATGGTTGGAGTAAAAATATGAAATAGTTGATAGGCAAAATAAAATATATACTTTATAGTAATGTTTAGATATGTAAAATGCCTATTACCATCGGAGATGCTGCAGACACTCGTAAACTAAGGTAGGAGATAAATATTGACTCGCTTGGCCCCTAGACCCATGACTAGATAGTTCTGTAACTTCTCATTCACCAAAATTGATAAAAGAAGGGAGCTTTAGAGATAAAACAACAAACCTGGGCCGACTAAAATATGCGGTTTAACTGTCAACTAAACTCTTCAAATATTCATATTTGAATTCCAAATGGGGTCTCTTGTTTTTTCATAACCCCTGTTATTAGAAGTTAGAAGTTAGTCCTCTTGAAAGCATATTTGAATAAAAAACTCACATGCAAAAGCCAGTAAGCATACTTTGGTGTTTGTGGTCTTCTCAACTCTTCAATAAATAATTTTTTTTTGAATTTATTTAAACTGTTTTGAATCATACGGTGTAAACAGAAGTTGCACCAAACATATCAACACAAAATTTCAAAATAAATTAGATTATAAGAAGTCCCAATAAAGCTGCACCAAACAAGTAATAAAAGTTTACAATTTTGTTCTACAAGTATCTCTGAATTTTCTCACAAATGAGATGAATAACACAATTTTGTTTATTACGTCTTTCTTTTTCTGAGATAAACATCTCTAATCACTTGCAGTTCCATGAGAGCATCACTAATATTCACTCTCTCACTGTGTAAATCTGCAAAACACACAACTCCAATTTGAAGGATACGTTCCAAGCACTTCACTGTCCTAACAACGTTGTCTCTGCTGCTTCCACTAGTCTTATTTGATTCATTTGGCCATTCTGATATCAGTGAAGGATCAACAATTGTCTGTAAACATGTAGTCTGTTGGTTTTTTCCCTTTAAACATCTCTAGTAAAACAATCCCATAACTGTACACGTCACCTTTTATTGACATTTCCCCACCTATAACATATTCTGCAAGTAGAAACAATCAAACATAGGTTGTTTGACATTATTTCTGTTTTCATTGTTTTCATTTTCCCTGCTTTTGAAAACAAAAACAATGAAAAATTCAACAATACTTTAAGAAACAAATTCAACATATTCTGCTCACTCATAGGGATTCAGAACCCCAATTGTCTTCATATCATATCCATTTTCTTTTTAAATATTTGTCAATAAACAGATTTGGAAAATTCATATACAACTTTTTAGAGTTGCCCAATAAGTCTATTATTTTGAGAAATTTTTTCCTAAAATAATTTTAAGAAACAATTTGCAAACTATACCGAACAGGACAACACAGTGTTTGAATCTTGGATATAACTAGGATTTTGTTGAGAGAAGGAAAAGGGGAAGGAACACACCCTAGTGTAAAACATAATTAGAATGAGAACTTTAACAAAAGAACAATAAAATAGATAAAATTACCCGGAGCAATATATCCAGTTGTTCCTCTAATTCTACTTGAAGCACTGTTGTGTCTATGAGTGGATGCACCTGTCTTGGTTAGACAAATTCTTGCCAAACCAAAATCACTTACACTGGTGGAGAGATCATCATCAAGAACATTGCTCGGCTTCAAGACGCAATGAAGATAGGTGTTTCACAATGGTTGTGAAGATAATCCAATGCCTTGAACAAGGTTCAAGTTCGTGGAGTCCTCCTGGTTCTGTGAACTCGAATGTAACCAGCTCTCAGAGACTCCCATTGGATATGAATTGAAAGACCAAAGCCTTGAACTCATTGCCTTTGAAGTCTATGCTTGAGCAAGCAGTATTATCTTAACTGGATCTGAGGTCGGATGTTCCTCAATGCTTCACATGCTGCCAAGAAACTCTTGCTGGCTCCCCTTACTTGAAGATTGAATACCTTGACAGCAATTGCTCTTATAGTTTCACAATTGAGAATCCCTTTGTACACAGAACCATAGCTTCCCTCGCCGATCAAATTTCTTGAGGAGAATCCTTCAGTTTCCTTAAGAAGTTCTGCATAATAAATATTTGGATATTGGTTTACAAGCAACAAGGTTGAAGCAATTTTCTCTTTCAACCCTTTGTTCCAATACATTTTGGCACAAATGCATGCTAGCAGCAAAATGATGCAGACAGGAACACTAATTGCAATACTTAGCACTATATTATGGAAATGCTTTCCTTGTTTCTTTGAAATTTTTGTGGGACATGCAGGCAATTGCAATGCTTTATTTCCTCCACAAAGCTTGCTATTTCCCACAATTGAGAATGCACTGATATTGCTAAACACTCCTTTGCTTGGAACTTCACCCTCAAACTTATTGTAGGAAACGTTGAGAGATTGAAGCAAAGAGAACTTGCCTAGAAAAACTGGAATCTTGCCAGACAAATTATTATTTGAAAGATCTATTTCTTGAACGCCTCTTAATTGTTTGAAAGATGGTGGAATAGTACCTTCGAAATGGTTACCCTCCATGTAAAGAAATTTCAAAACTAGACAATCACCAAGAGTGCTTGGAATGTTTTCTGAAACATTGAATTGCCCAAGATTTATCATATTACCCACTTCTAATGGCAGTGGTCCTGTTAAGAAATTTTAGGCTTCAAGAAGACCTAGAGTGAATAAAGTCAGTCCAAGTATTTGTTTGGGTATCATACCGCTAAGGCAATTCAGTGAAAGATCCAGTCCTTGTAGGTTTATGCATTACCCAAAGAAATATGTATACTTCCTTCTAGCATATTTTTTTGCAAGAATTAGTTTTGACATGTTACTGAAAGAGTTTGAAATCTTCCCTGAGATTTTGTTTACACGCATATGGAGCCCTTGCAACATGATAAGTTTTCCCATGGAATTGGGAATGTTGCCAGTGAGCGGGTTTTCATAGAGTGCAAGCAGCTCCAAGTTGACAAGGTTCCCAATAGCAGGAGGTATGCTTCCTGATATGTATTTCTGATCCAACCTAAGGCATACGAGCTTGGTGGAGAGATTTGCAATTAAAGTGGGCAATACACCCCCAAGAGAAATTGGTGAACAAGGTAAGGAACTACAAGTCATTGGATTTTGCAGTGCCAAGAGTATTAGCCCCAAAATTTAAAAGCTCAAGTTGTTTAAGTTCTCCCAAATTCTGTGGTATGCCAAGCATTAACCAGAGATGCAGGAATGGACCCAGAGAATTGATTTTCTCCAATGTAAATCCGTTCAAGTTTTGGAAGGGTGAGACCTAGGTTAAAAGGCAAGCTTCCATGCAATTGGTGTGAGACTAGAGCTAATATATGGATTGATGAAATGTTGAGAATAGCAGGAGGAATCATACTGGTCAACTTGTTTTCAGACAACTGAAGCACTTCCAAGTTTGAGAGTTTCCAAGTTCAACAGGAATTTGGCCTTCTAAATTGCTGTTTGACATATAATTAAAAAAAAATGCAGAGCAGAGAGGTTCCCAAGTGTAGGTGGGATTGTTCCAAAAAAGTGATGCAAGGATAGGACTAATTCATAAAGTTGTGGCAGAGAGCCGAGTTGAATTGGAACCTTCCCTCCAAGATTATTCTTAATTGAATCAATGACTCTAAGGTCTGAACAATGTGTGACATTAACTGGAAATTCTCCCTTGAAAGAGTTGTTTCCAAGAATATGATAAAGAATTTGAAACAAGCGACCAACCTCTTGGGGGATCACCCTATGGAAGCTGTTGTCCTCGAGGTTGATCACTCGAAGGAAGGTAAGGTCTCCTATATGAGGAAACAAGGAACCCCTACTAATGTTATGCATGGTTTAGTGCACTTACTCTCTGATGATGCTTATGACTGCAAGTAACTCCTTGCCATTTGCAGAAATGGAGAGAACTGTGCCATGAGCTAAAGACCCTGAAAGGATCTTCCTTTATTCCATCCCTAATGGCTAGCAAAGCTTGCATGTCTATCTCATTTGTGGAACCAAAAGTGGGAACAAAGTTCATGAAGAATGGAAGAGAAAATGAGAAAGGAACAACTTAGTGGCCTGAAAAGTATGGTGTTTTGCTCCATTATTTGGTGTTGTAGAAGATGAATGGGGAAGGAGATGAATGAAGGGTACAAGTTATTATAGCTCAATGAGCACATAATAATCTCCTCATCTAATCCTGTTGACTAAGTTTGCACTCCTCCAAACGTCGTCGCTTTACCACTTGAAAACACAAACGTGAGCTAGTTGGTGGGTGTGTGTGCCTAAGTCAGCAAAATAGACAACAGACACAAAAGCTTTGTGTATTCGAAAGTAAGAATTGCAATACCTTTGCATAGATTCTGCCATGAGCTTTTATAAATTTTGCTTGGCATAATCCTAGTAGGACTCTGACTCTCCTTCTAGGAATCACATTCCCAGGAATAAAGCCTATCCTAAGAACACCCTTCTCACTGCAAGCCAAGTGAGATGGCCTAATACTCTGCTCGGCTGACTGTATTTAACCGAGCTACCTTGTGCTTGTGCTTCTACTCGTTTGATTGAGCTATGAAACCCCAACAGTATATGCGTTTATCTAGGTAGGCTATGCCTAACCCGGTCATCGCGCTACTCCGATTTGTGTTGCAAGCTACACTCGGATAGCTAGGCCCAAAATCTGTAACCGAGCTATTCCCAGATTGGCCCAACACGCAACCCATCCTAAGAAGAAACCCTTACCTAGCTCGGCCTAATTTGTCCACAAATTACTCTCTTAATTGCCCCTTAATTCCATCTGCGAAGTATGATTGAGATTACTATCTTCCAAAGCCGAGCTAAATGTACTCAATTCAACTGAGCTAAAACTGTTAGTTCGCTCTTACAATCTGCTCGGTTCTAACGTGTCTCATCAATCACTTAGCACGTTCCCTAATACCTCTTCAATCATGGGACACGTGGGAGGCCTCCACTAGCCCCATACCTACGATACAGCCGTTGCCCACCACCAAAATTTGAAACGCCCCCGCCTTTTTACATTTCCCAAATATGTAAAGTCAATTCCACTATTCATCACACTCCCATTGTTCATCTTCATTCCTTCTCACATTTGAAGCTGCATACTCCCCACTATTCATGTTCATTCCCTTTCGCACTCTGAGCTGCTCATCAACACCTCACGCCTGTTGCCGTTTGCTAGAACTCCATTTGCTGACCAATACCAGATGTTTTTCTCAAAAACCTCTGAGTTACTCGCTCTTTCTAATATTTTCTACGAAAATGTTCATGTTGTTCTGCAAGTTCTTGATGCTTGGTTACCGAACCCAATCATAAGCATAATAAAATGATGTCTGCTTAGCTAAAAAATGGTTATAGTACCCCCAAAAACCCCATTCTCTAGGAAGACCCACTTTTAGAACGGAAACCAGATAAGAATAGTCATTTTGATCAAAATGATATAGTGACCGAACAAAGAACTTGTTTATGCCTCATCTAAAAAACGAGGACCGAGCTGCGGCTTGTTGTCTATAACCGAGCTAAAAAACTTGGCCCCTAGGCCGAACTGAGCAAAAACCTTGCCCACTCGCTAGCCGAACTAAACATATGATCTTGCCATAGCCCGGTCAATCACTGGGGTGTAATGCTTTTATTTCTCACTTTGCAGACTAGGTTGGCCAGGCACACCTTCCCCACACCACTTAGTGGTGCTGCTCAACTGAGCTATCGGTCCTGATGGTTCAACCAAACTACACCTTTTAAGGCCTCGTTTGGGAACAGGCTAATTTAGTAACTTTTTGGCTATTTGGCTAAAAAAGTAGGTAAAAAAAACTTGTATGTTTGGGATGACTTTTTGGCTAATTACGAAAAGATGTGCAAAAAGTAGAGAGAAAAGAGAATCTTTGACTTTTTGGTATGGGTTGTTGGCTTTTTGGCTAATTTAGTAACTTTTTGGCTAATTGGCTAAAATAGCCTCTTGCCAAACGAGGCCTAAGTCTGATTTACAGAGGTTTAAATATTTGTTCACTATGTACAACATTTTTTGTGATGTTTCTGAATGCTCAGCTGCATCTTTTGAGTAGATAGCATAAAAAGTTTTCCTCTTCACAAACTTTCTTGTTTGCAAAGTACGAACCATATATCCTTACGTTACCTTATTTTTTGAAAAATGTTTTCTGGAATAATTGAAAGTTCTATTTTTTGGTTTTCATTTCTATTTGTATCTGACACATTATTATCAATATGATATGACGCAGCTTATCTATGTTCCAAATTGTGTGGCCCATACCAGGTGAGATTCAAATCGTACCTAGTTATTGAAGAAAGTGATGTGAAACTGTAAAATGAAGGGTAATAAATCACAGATTCAATATTTTACATTTTACTCAACTGTTCAAAGTTGCAGGCACTTGATTTGGGGTTTGCACTTGAACCTTTCAAAGTTCATGTATAACACAAGCCTAACATTGTTTTTGATAAATATAACACAAGCCTAACATTTGAACAACCTTTATTGAACCTCTAATATAGAGTGGAAGCTATGAGCTTTTGTAACGATATTAATTGTTAAAAATTGGTTTGTATCTGTGTATCATGTCCTTCACATATGATTCATTCGGTAAATTACAGAAATTTTGATTCTTGGCTGTGGGAGGAATATTCAGCAAGTACATCCTGAACTTCGGCGCTTCATTCGGTCTACTGGAATGAAACTTGAAGTTCTTGACTCGGTAATGATCTCTTTATTTGCTCCATTTTAATAATTTATAGAATTTTGTTTCATTTGGGGACACTATAATGTGGGTGTGAGTTTATAATGAGAATGAATAACTGATACAGACATTGTGAGCAACATTTGACCACAAAGGCAACATAATGCATAGATCATGAAACAACTATTGTCATGCAGGTTCGCAGCTGATAGAAAATTTGTTTCAGTATGTATGAAATATCACATAAAACATGTCACCTAGTTAAGATTCATGACTCTGGTTCACAGTTCTGGTCTTATTGAGATCCAACATACTTGGAGACAACAAAAGATTGCTTGAGCATGTTGAGATTTTGAAATGGCAATACTTTTACACTAGATGGAATTGAACCAAATTTTGGAACTTTATGTCGTGGTTGGAATTTTAACTCCTCGTGTATTGATTCTGTACTTTGTTTTTGCTTTTTTGGTGACCAAAGGGAATGGTTTCTCAAAAACCTTCAGGCGGTAGAGTTAAGAGTGACTCCAAACAATAATAATCCATGTGAATATATAGTGTTACCAGTTAGAACTGACGTCCTTGCTGATGACAATTAGAATGTTGCCTTGAACCAGAATGATTAAAAGAGGTGTTACACCAAATTAACCTCCTATGTGGCTGTGTTGGTTCTTCATCATGTGGAGAAGATGATTATAATGTATGTGTTCTGTCTTTGACAACAACGGGTAACTTTGGAAAGAGTTTCTCCTAAATTTTGGATTCAGATAGAAGTGCAAAACTTTACTACACGAATAGGTTGAGATAAAGATATGATAGTTGAGGAGGGATTACAGTAATCTTAACCTACTACCGTGTTCTTCTTTCTACATTGCACTTATAATATTCTTGTATTTTTTCATTTATTTCTGTTTCATCTTCCATTTTATTCAATCC